GGTCTTGGCTCTTGTTAAGAGTTCTTGGCTCTTGTTAAGAGGTCTTGGCTCTTATTAAGAGGTCTTGGCTCTTATTAAGAGGTCTTGGCTCTTGTTAGGAGGTCTTGGCTCTTGTTAGGAGATCTTGGCTCTTGTTAGGAGGTCTTGGCTCTTGTTAAGAGGTCTTGGCTCTTGTTAAGAGGTCTTGGCTCTTGTTAGGAGGTCTTGGCTCTTGTTAAGAGGTCTTGGCTCTTATTAAGAGGTCTTGGCTCTTGTTAAGAGGTCTTGGCTCTTATTAAGAGGTCTTCGCTCTTGTTAGGAGGTCTTGGCTCTTGTTAAGAGGTCTTGGCTCTTATTAAGAGGTCTTGGCTCTTGTTAGGAGGTCTTGGCTCTTGTTAAGAGGTCTTGGCTCTTATTAAGAGGTCTTGGCTCTTGTTAAGAGGTCTTGGCTCTTGTTAGCAGGTCTTGGCTCTTGCTAGGAGGTCTTGGCTCTTGTTAGGAGGTCTTGGCTCTTGTTAGGAGGTCTTGGCTCTTGTTAAGAGGTCTTGGCTCTTGTTAAGAGGTCTTGGCTCTTGTTAAGAGGTCTTGGCTCTTGTTAGGAGGTCTTGGCTCTTGTTAAGAGGTCTTGGCTCTTGTTAGGAGGTCTTGGCTCTTGTTAAGAGTTCTTGGCTCTTGTTAGGAGTTCTTGGCTCTTGTTAGGAGGTCTTGGCTCTTGTTAAGAAGTCTTGGCTCTTATTAGGAGGTCTTGGCTCTTGTTAGGAGGTCTTGGCTCTTGTTAAGAAGTCTTGGCTCTTATTAGGAGGTCTTGGCTCTTGTTAGGAGGTCTTGGCTCTTGTTAAGAAGTCTTGGCTCTTGTTAGGAGGTCTTGGCTCTTGCTAGGAGGTCTTGGCTCTTGTTAAGAAGTCTTGGCTCTTGTTAAGAGGTCTTGGCTCTTGTTAAGAGGTCTTGGCTCTTATTAAGAGGTCTTGGCTCTTGTTAGGAGGTCTTGGCTCTTGTTAAGAGGTCTTGGCTCTTATTAAGAGGTCTTGGCTCTTGTTAAGAGGTCTTGGCTCTTGTTAAGAGGTCTTGGCTCTTGTTAAGAGGTCTTGGCTCTTATTAAGAGGTCTTGGCTCTTATTAAGAGGTCTTGGCTCTTGTTAGGAGGTCTTGGCTCTTGTTAGGAGATCTTGGCTCTTGTTAGGAGGTCTTGGCTCTTGTTAAGAGGTCTTGGCTCTTGTTAAGAGGTCTTGGCTCTTGTTAGGAGGTCTTGGCTCTTGTTAAGAAGTCCTGGCTCTTGTTAGGAGGTCTTGGCTCTTGCTAGGAGGTCTTGGCTCTTGTTAAGAGGTCTTGGCTCTTATTAAGAGGTCTTGGCTCTTGTTAAGAGGTCTTGGCTCTTATTAAGAGGTCTTGGCTCTTGTTAGGAGGTCTTGGCTCTTGTTAAGAGGTCTTGGCTCTTATTAAGAGGTCTTGGCTCTTGTTAAGAGGTCTTGGCTCTTGTTAAGAGGTCTTGGCTCTTGTTAAGAGGTCTTGGCTCTTATTAAGAGGTCTTGGCTCTTATTAAGAGGTCTTGGCTCTTGTTAGGAGGTCTTGGCTCTTGTTAGGAGATCTTGGCTCTTGTTAGGAGGTCTTGGCTCTTGTTAAGAGGTCTTGGCTCTTGTTAAGAGGTCTTGGCTCTTGTTAGGAGGTCTTGGCTCTTGTTAAGAGGTCTTGGCTCTTATTAAGAGGTCTTGGCTCTTGTTAAGAGGTCTTGGCTCTTATTAAGAGGTCTTCGCTCTTGTTAGGAGGTCTTGGCTCTTGTTAAGAGGTCTTGGCTCTTATTAAGAGGTCTTGGCTCTTGTTAGGAGGTCTTGGCTCTTGTTAAGAGGTCTTGGCTCTTATTAAGAGGTCTTGGCTCTTGTTAAGAGGTCTTGGCTCTTGTTAAGAGGTCTTGGCTCTTGTTAAGAGGTCTTGGCTCTTATTAAGAGGTCTTGGCTCTTATTAAGAGGTCTTGGCTCTTGTTAGGAGGTCTTGGCTCTTGTTAGGAGATCTTGGCTCTTGTTAGGAGGTCTTGGCTCTTGTTAAGAGGTCTTGGCTCTTGTTAAGAGGTCTTGGCTCTTGTTAGGAGGTCTTGGCTCTTGTTAAGAGGTCTTGGCTCTTATTAAGAGGTCTTGGCTCTTGTTAAGAGGTCTTGGCTCTTATTAAGAGGTCTTCGCTCTTGTTGAGAGGTCTTGGCTCTTGTTAGGAGGTCTTGGCTCTTGTTAGGAGGTCTTGGCTCTTGTTAAGAGGTCTTGGCTCTTGTTAAGAGGTCTTGGCTCTTGTTAAGAGGTCTTGGCTCTTGTTAAGAGGTCTTGGCTCTTATTAAGAGGTCTTCGCTCTTGTTAAGAGGTCTTGGCTCTTGTTAGGAGGTCTTGGCTCTTGTTAGGAGGTCTTGGCTCTTGTTAAGAGGTCTTGGCTCTTGTTAAGAGGTCTTAGCTTTTGTTAGGAGGTTTTGGCTCCTGTTAAGAAGTCTTGGCTCTTGTTAGGAGGTTTTGGCTCTTGTTAAGAGGTCTTGGCTCTTATTAAGAGGTCTTGGCTCTTGTTAAGAGGTCTTGGCTCTTGTTAAGAGGTCTTGGCTCTTGTTAAGAGGTCTTGGCTCTTGTTAAGAGGTCTTGGCTCTTGTTAAGAGGTCTTAGCTCTTGTTAAGAGGTCTTGGCTCTTGTTAAGAAGTCTTGGCTCTTGTTAGGAGGTCTTGGCTCTTGTTAGGAGGTCTTGGCTCTAGTTAAGAGGTCTTGGCTCTTGTTAAGAGGTCTTGGCTCTTGTTAGGAGATTTTGGCTCCTGTTAAGAAGTCTTGGCTCTTGTAAGATGGTGAGTTTGGGAGGCTGGGAAAGTGGCTTTGTAGGTTCCAGTAAACTTGTAGATCTTGAGGTTTATTCCAACCCGAAGAATGAGGTTGAAGATATGCCGCTGGGTTGGTCCTTAACGTCGATGTAACACTGAATTACTCTTGCGTTAGTCTGGTTCCTGGAGGGTTTCATAAAGCTAGAATTCCACCCAGGCCGACTTGGGCAAATGGAAATAAATCTACGTTGATTGAAAGTTCCTTTTTTTTTTTGAGATATATACAAGAGTTGTTACATTGTTGTAGAGCCACTAGTACGCGTAGCGTTTCGGGCAGGTCCCTGGAATACGATCCCCTGCCGCGAAGAATTGTTGTTACAACCAAGTACACATTTTACTGTTGCGTTAAACAGAGGCTACAGTTAAGGATTTGCGCCCAGTAAATCCTCCCTGGCCAGGATACGAACCCATGACATAGCGCTCGCGGAACGCCAGGCGAGTGTCTTACCACTACACCACGGAGACTGTAAGTCTCAACTCTAAATGACCTCGCGCGATCTGATTGCTTCTTGCACATGTTGGTAGACCGACACATGAAGAAACTTAACCGAGACGCTAGTCTGTAACGAATAATTTTAACAATTTAAAAAACAACATTCGAGTGGGAAGAGGGGGGGGGGGGGGTTATCTTAAAGGCTAAAACAAACTTGGTTAATATGCGGACGGTAAATTTTTAACTGTTAAAATCTAATATACCAGATATAAAATTTAATATAAAATTTAGTCAATTTTAATGTTGGAAATTGTTAGGGGTTATCTTGGGTTATCTTGGGTTATCTTGGGCTGATTTCGGGGCTTTTTATATAGTGTCCCCGCGGCCCGGTCCTCGACCAGGCCTCCACCCCCAGGAAGCAGCCCGTGACAGCTGACTAACACCCAGGTACCTATTGTACTGCTAGGTAACAGGGGCATAGGGTGAAAGAAACTCTGCCCAATTTTCTCGCCAGCGCCTGGGATCGAACCCAGGACCACAGGATCACAAGTCCAGCGTGCTGTCCGCTCGGCCGACCGGCTCCCCAATACACAACAGTGGCCAGAATTCGTAAATCATTAACGTGTTCCCTTACGAAACCTCTACATCTTTCCTTAATTCTGAAGTCGAACAAACAGTTAATAAACAAATCCACAATGGCCTTCATGAGGGTTCGAACCTACACACGGAATGTTCCCAGACTAGTTTTTTGTTAATTGGATATATCACACTATTGTGATTTCTCTGTGTAAACAGTTAATGAGTCCCAACAGCTCGTAAATTGGTGTGATAGACTAAGCCGTCATTACTGAGGAAAGATCTACAGGTTTCGTTAGTGGTTGATGAAATAAGACATATTAACCCATTACTTGGGTCATTGAAGACATCACTCCAAGTATACGGTTTGCTCTATATTTCTGGGGGCCAGATTCACGAAGCAGTTACGCAAGCACTTACGAACCTGTCCATCTTTTCTCAATCTTTGGCGGCTTTGTTTACAATTATTAAACAGTTAATGAGCTCCGAAGCACCAGGAGGCTGTTTATAACAATAACAACAGTTGATTGGCAAGTTTTCATGCTTGTAAACTGTTTAATAAATGTAACCAAAGCCGTCAAAGGTTGAGGAAAGATGTACACGTTCGTAAGTGCTTGCGTAACTGCTTCGTGAATCTGGCCCCAGGTTCGTAAGTGCTTGCGTAACTGCTTCGTGAATCTGGCCCCAGGTTCGTAAGTGCTTGCGTAACTGCTTCGTGAATCTGGCCCCAGGTTCGTAAGTGCTTGCGTAACTGCTTCGTGAATCTGGCCCCAGGTTCGTAAGTGCTTGCGTAACTGCTTCGTGAATCTGGCCCCAGGTTCGTAAGTGCTTGCGTAACTGCTTCGTGAATCTGGCCCCAGGTTCGTAAGTGCTTGCGTAACTGCTTCGTGAATCTGGCCCCAGGTTCGTAAGTGCTTGCGTAACTGCTTCGTGAATCTGGCCCCAGGTTCGTAAGTGCTTGCGTAACTGCTTCGTGAATCTGGCCCCAGGTTCGTAAGTGCTTGCGTAACTGCTTCGTGAATCTGGCCCCAGGTTCGTAAGTGCTTGCGTAACTGCTTCGTGAATCTGGCCCCAGGTTCGTAAGTGCTTGCGTAACTGCTTCGTGAATCTGGCCCCAGGTTAATATTTTATGACCGTATTTCGCAACGTTTATGTGTAATTTTATGCATTTATTAAATTACATTTCACTGGACGTGTCCGTCGTCGTATTGACGTCATCACTGGACGTGTCCGTCGTCGTATTGACGTCATCACTGGACATGTCCGTCGTCGTATTGACGTCATCACTGGACGTGTCCGTCGTCGTATTGACGTCATCACTGGACATGTCCGTCGTCGTATTGACGTCATCACTGGACATGTCCGTCGTCGTATTGACGTCATCACTGGACGTGTCCGTCGTCGTATTGACGTCATCACTGGACATGTCCGTCGTCGTATTGACGTCATCACTGGACGTGTCCGTCGTCGTATTGACGTCATCACTGGACGTGTCCGTCGTCGTATTGACGTCATCACTGGACATGTCCGTCGTCGTATTGACGTCATCACTGGACATGTCCGTCGTCGTATTGACGTCATCACTGGACGTGTCCGTCGTCGTATTGACGTCATCACTGGACATGTCCGTCGTCGTATTGACGTCATCACTGGACGTGTCCGTCGTCGTATTGACGTCATCACTGGACGTGTCCGTCGTCGTATTGACGTCATCACTGGACGTGTCCGTCGTCGTATTGACGTCATCACTGGACGTGTCCGTCGTCGTATTGACGTCATCACTGGACGTGTCCGTCGTCGTATTGACGTCATCACTGGACGTGTCCGTCGTCGTATTGACGTCATCACTGGACGTGTCCGTCGTCGTATTGACGTCATCACTGGACGTGTCCGTCGTCGTATTGACGTCATCACTGGACGTGTCCGTCGTCGTATTGACGTCATCACTGGACATGTCCGTCGTCGTATTGACGTCATCACTGGACATGTCCGTCGTCGTATTGACGTCATCACTGGACGTGTCCGTCGTCGTATTGACGTCATCACTGGACATGTCCGTCGTCGTATTGACGTCATCACTGGACGTGTCCGTCGTCGTATTGACGTCATCACTGGACGTGTCCGTCGTCGTATTGACGTCATCACTGGACGTGTCCGTCGTCGTATTGACGTCATCACTGGACGTGTCCGTCGTCGTATTGACGTCATCACTGGACGTGTCCGTCGTCGTATTGACGTCATCACTGGACGTGTCCGTCGTCGTATTGACGTCATCACTGGACGTGTCCGTCGTCGTATTGACGTCATCACTGGACGTGTCCGTCGTCGTATTGACGTCATCACTGGACGTGTCCGTCGTCGTATTGACGTCATCACTGGACGTGTCCGTCGTCGTATTGACGTCATCACTGGACGTGTCCGTCGTCGTATTGACGTCATCACTGGACGTGTCCGTCGTCGTATTGACGTCATCACTGGACGTGTCCGTCGTCGTATTGACGTCATCACTGGACGTGTCCGTCGTCGTATTGACGTCATCACTGGACGTGTCCGTCGTCGTATTGACGTCATCACTGGACGTGTCCGTCGTCGTATTGACGTCATCACTGGACGTGTCCGTCGTCGTATTGACGTCATCACTGGACGTGTCCGTCGTCGTATTGACGTCATCACTAGACGTGTCCGTCGTCGTATTGACGTCATCACTGGACGTGTCCGTCGTCGTATTGACGTCATCACTAGACGTGTCCGTCGTCGTATTGACGTCATCACTGGACGTGTCCGTCGTCGTATTGACGTCATCACTGGACGTGTCCGTCGTCGTATTGACGTCATCACTGGACATGTCCGTCGTCGTATTGACGTCATCACTAGACGTGTCCGTCGTCGTATTGACGTCATCACTAGACGTGTCCGTCGTTGTATTGACGTCATCACTAGACGTGTCCGTCGTCGTATTGACGTCGTCAATGTCGATTCAATGAGCGCAATATCATGGTGACGTTGATTCGACGTGTAGTCAACGCTGCTGACGTCGATTCAACGCTGCTGACGTATATTCAACGCTGCTGACGTAAATTCAACGCTGCTGACGTAAATTCAACACCGCTGACGTAAATTCAACGCTGCTGACGTAAATTCAACACTGCTGACGTAAATTCAACGCTGCTGACGTAAATTCAACGCTGCTGACGTAAATTCAACGCCGCTGACGTAAATTCCACGCCACTCTTGGCTATAGCGTTCACCGAGGACCTGCTATCCTCCCTGACCTGGCTCTCTCATACGGTAATTACTTACCAGTGATAATTACTGGCTTTTATAATTATACGATAACTTTCCCGTTTTCTTCAGACTCCGATAATTTGTTTAATAAACAGAAACCTCGTGTCATTTTCTTTTTAGTTCTCGTCTGTTTGTCACGGCAGTTTAAGGGATTATCTTGAGGTTATCTTGAGATGATTTTGGGGATTTAGTGTCCCCGCGGCCCGGTCCTCGACCAGGCCTCCACCCCCAGGAAGCAGCCCGTGACAGCTGACTAACTCCCAGGTACCTATTTACTGCTAGGTAACAGGGGCATTCAGGGTGAAAGAAACTTTGCCCATTTGTTTCTGCCTCGTGCGGGAATCGAACCCGCGCCACAGAATTACGAGTCCTGCGCGCTATCCACCAGGCTACGAGGCCCCTATACGACTATACGACTACGAGGGACAACTAAATTATATACTTTTGGTTGTAAGTTGGTCCTAATGTCGATCCCCAGTGGCTGAGTGGACAGCGCTCGTTATTCATAGTCTTAGGGTTCCGGGTTCGATTCCCAGCGGAGGGGGGGAAAGAAATGGGAAGAGATTCTTTCACTCCTGATGGCCGTTGTTCAGCTTGCAGTAAATAGGTACCTGGGAGTTAGACAGCTGCCAGGGGCTGCTTCATGGGGGGGAGGGGGGGTGTAAGTAAAAGGAGGCCTGGTGGAAGACCGGGCCGCGGGGACGCTAAAGCCCCGAAATCATCTCAAGATAACTTCAAGATAACCGTTGAGAAGTCCAGTAAGTTCAATTCGTTGATTGTACCTCATTGTAAATTATAGTAAAGTTCTATGTGATCAGGCGAACAAGGGGGACGAGTTAGTTTACCTGCTGTTTGATAGGTATTCCAGCAGACATAGACAGTGTGGATTGACAGGTGATAGGCATTATAGACAGATAAACTGACAGAAAAGTTTGGAACCTACTGAGATAACTAGAGACGCGCTGGCAAGGGAAGACAGGCGAAACAGGTATAGTGTTCAACAAAGGGGGAAGAGACGGGCAGTGATCAGTAGACCGTCTCTCTAAATTACCGTCTACGGTAGGAGGTAGATACAGACAGAGGAAAGGATGAAATCTTCCATCAAAGAACAAGCTGACGGTGGAACACAGACTGTCAATCGGCAAGCAGAAAAATCACATGTCGCTTTCAAAACTTGCTCCCTACTTCGGTATTATCCATTGTCGTATCCACGGAGATATTCCATTATCGTCATTTATCATTGAGGATATCCATAGGAGCCGTCATGAGGATTCGAACCTTGGCGCTGCGTGTCCCCACCCCCACCCCCAGATGCACACGCTCTAGCCGACTACGCCACGACATGAATGCATCTGGGGAACACACCGAGCAAAGGTTCGAATCCTGGTCACAGGTTCTGGGGATTTTCCCAATTGTCTTATTTTTTAGCTGTGACTGTCCATGTATATTTTATATGTATAATGTTGCACGTTCATGTATACTTTAGAGATCAATTCATAATAATTGCGTAATGTGTATTAAATCAATTGCATAAACATTAATTGATTAACAGGTTTTTACACCAAGTTTTATGTGTTTTTTTATGTATTAAATATTAATATTTTTAATTTTTTTTTTATTCTAATTCGATGACGACAGACGAATTTTAATAAGATTTTTAAATCTTAGATATAATTATTAACCAATTATATATTTTTTCAATAAATTTTGGGTTTTCTAGTGAAGCCAATCGCCTTCCTCCTCTTCCCGTCGGGAACACTGTGCAAAAGTAACATTCATTCAACGTTAAATTGACGTTAGATTACGTTAAATCGACGTTGAATTTACGTTAAATCGACGTTAAATTACGTTAACTCGACGTTGAATTAAATTAAATCGACGTTGAATTACGTTATATCGACGTTGCATTACTTGAAATCGACGTTGAATTACATTAAATCGACGTTAAATGACGTTAACTCGACGTTGAATTACGTTAAATCGACGTTGAATTACGTTAAATCGACGTCGAATTACGTTAAATCGACCTCGAATTACATTAAATCGACGTTAACAACGTCTATTTAATGTAGTTCTTTAGTGCTCTTTAAGAAATAAATTCTTAAAAGTTTAGTGCTCCTGGATGTTGCGTGACTAGGTACATGATTTTTTTTTTGTTTCAGGTTTCCTAAATACCTTCAATAATGTAACTTGTTCTCAAACCAACCCGTTCTCTTAAAAATAACGTCACTTTTGGCTGGTATGCGCCGCTATGGCCAAATTTGGACGTAATTTGAAATGATATCGACTCACAAAAGTGACGTTCTGTTCCGTTTTCTATTTGAGTCGTCCGGCGTACCCGGAGAGGTTAGAAGAGGACACTATAAATTCACGTTTTTCATAACTTTTTGAAACTTTATGAGAATTTCCTGCCCACCTAACCTATCAGAGGACCCTTAACTTACTGTTGTTGAAAAAAAAATCCCAAATTTATTTTCATTTTTTTTTAATTTGCAAATTACGTCCAAATTCAGCCATACGGACAAACGGCCAAAAGCGACGTTCTTTTTAAGAGGACAGGTTGCTCAAACAGCGTCACTATATATATCTTGGTGTATAGCCAGCCGATGTTTGCATACAAATTCTTTTACGGATGAGCGTATGAAATCTTGAGCAGTTTTACATTTTTTTCATCGAAAATATATTTGGGTATTACCTTCAGTTATATGGTGGTATGCGCGCCTCGGTGGCCCGCCGGTGTGGCATATTTTGTCGAAAATGTCATTTCAGAAAACTTTTAAGGCGGCTCTGGGAGGCTAAATTGAACCAATATAATTTTAGACTTGCATCGGCCTTGGAGATCAAGTGTGCAAAACTGTAAAGTTTATGCAATATTTTATACAGTTGCAACCTCCATCCTTAAAAATAAAAAAAATAAAAATGTATAAAAAGTAATTTGAAGGTGTTTATAGACGACAAAGTCTCTGCTCATACAACTTTATAAGAATCCTGTCATTACAATTCCCCGAATTCTATCTGAACCTGAAGTCTAAAAGACAAAATGTAACCACAAAAGTATTTTTAGTATCAAAGTTGATGTTGCGTTGCAGTAACGTTGCAGGAATGTTGTCGTAACGTATCAATAACGTTTTAGTAACGAGGCAGGAACGTTGTAGTAACGTTGCCGTAATGTTGTGGTTACGGTGTAGTAGCGTTGCAGTAATGTGGTGATTACAGTGCAGTAATGTTGCATCTACGGTTTAGTAACGTTGAAACAACGTTGTAGTAACATATCAATAAAGTTTCAGTAACGTTGCAGAAATGTTAAGAAAACCTGGTGTGTGCATTTTACACAAATTGTCAAAACCTTATCTCACCGGGCGAGCCTTCAGTGCCAATCGGAACTATAATTTCCAAAATGTCTTCAAATATGTCTTCAAATTCCGCGTTTTACATGCAAGGACGATTGAAGCGATGTGATTGGTGCGAGCGATGCCCGAAACGCTTTGCGTAATAGTGGCTTTAGGCATTGTATGTACTAGCTCTACCTATAAGTCAACCAATCCTTGTAAAAATTTATTGTATGTACCTTACCTAAATAAAAATTATTATTAAAAATTATTATTATTATTATTATTATTATTATTATTATTATTATTATTATTATTATTATTATTATTATTATTATTATTGTTTTCCCTGAGGAATGGACTGTCGTCTCGTAATAGTTGTATTGTGCATGTCTTGTGCACTTGTCAAGTATAACTTGTATGTGTCTTGTGCACTTGTCATGTATAACTTGTGTGTGTCTTGTGCACTTGTCAAGTATAACTTGTGTGTGTCTTGTGCACTTGTCTAGTATAACTTGTGTGTGTCTTGTGCACTTGTCAAGTATAACTTGTGTGTGTCTTGTGCACTTGTCAAGTATAACTTGTGCATGTCTTGTGCACATGTCAAGTATAACTTGTGTGTGTCTTGTGCACTTGTCAAGTATAACTTGTGTGTGTCTTGTGCACTTGTCAAGTATAACTTGTGCATGTCTTGTGCACTTCTCAAGTATAACTTGTGCATGTCTTGTGCACTTGTCAAGTATAACTTGTGCATGTCTTGTGCACTTGTGAAGTATAACTTGTGCATGTCTTGTGCACTTGTCAAGTATAACTTGTGCGTGTCTTGTGCACTTCTCAAGTATAACTTGTGCATGTCTTGTGCACTTCTCAAGTATAACTTGTGTGTGTCTTGTGCACTTGTCAAGTATAACTTGTGTGTGTCTTGTGCACTTGTCAAGTATAACTTGTGCATGTCTTGTGCACATGTCAAGTATAACTTGTATGTGTCTTGTGCACTTGTCAAGTATAACTTGTGTGTGTCTTGTGCACTTGTCAAGTATAACTTGTGTGTGTCTTGTGCACTTGTCAAGTATAACTTGTGTGTGTCTTGTGCACTTGTCAAGTATAACTTGTGTGTGTCTTGTGCACATGTCAAGTATAACTTGTGTGTGTCTTGTGCACTTGTCAAGTATAACTTGTGTGTGTCTTGTGCACTTGTCAAGTATAACTTGTGTGTGTCTTGTGCACTTGT